GGCATTGCGACATTTATATAGATGAAACGGCCTGTTTCTATAAATTCTCATCCGATTTCCTACATGTGAATTTTATAATGTTCGGTAAATTTATGCCTTTACATTGACGTCTTTCTTTTAACTTTGCTAAATATACTGCGATTTTACTGCTAATTTCCCTCTGTTTTTACGAAAAAAATATCGCATTAACAATTGTAAAATAAAAAAAGATCGACAGGGTGAATTTTGCTATAATTTTTTAAGCATGAAGTGAAATCGCGAAGGAAAATATTTATGCAATAAAAATATAGGGTCAATGCGTAAGATATTTTACTATTACTGTGTGAAAATAGAATTAAGGGTGAGTAAAACGCAATGATTTTGGTGACGTCAATAGACGTTGGAGTTCAAAGAGTATATTATTACGTCGGACATTTAAAATCACACATGGACTTGATGAATTTTTTTTTTATAAATTGCTGATTATTTTCTTATTGAAATGCCTATGCTAGATGAGCAAATTTACAATGTTTAATCCGACAAGGCATTTTATTAATACGTTTCCAATTTGCTGGACACTATTTCAGTTTTAATTTTTACAATCTGGTGATTGTAATAAAAGAGTAAAAAGTGTTATATCATTACATGAAATAACTAATTTCAGCGCAAAAAAGTAAGAATCGCATATTGCTGTATGACAGAAGTAAGAACATTTAGTTGCTTAGCTGATACCCGTTAGAATATTTATTTTACGTTACTTCAGCTTTTAAACACTTTCATAAAATCACATACAGACAGACCCGTTAGAATATTTATTTTACGTTACTTCAGCTTTTAAACACTTTCATAAAATCACATACAGACAGACGAGCCCCGGTGTCAATACACATTAAAATGCAATCTAAATAGATATACATACAAATGTGCCGAAAAAAGTGATAATAAAATTCAGAAATAATATTTAAGATATGTTAAGAATATTTAAAAACAAACTGTCTAAGATACAAAACATTTCATTTTGCTTAACATTTTCAAGTTTGTGCAATACATTAATCTAATAAGAATTGTTATGATAATAGGTTAATAAATTAAAAAAAAATGAACACTGTTACCTTTCAATACGAATGGTGTATAATGCTGACGCTATCGTTTTCAATTGTTTGTATACAGTTTGCTTTTAGCAGAAAAAAAACCACACACAATAAGGTGTTTATGTAAACAAAAAAAATTTCATAGGCTCTATAGCACAGTATTATGTGCAGGAAAAACTTACATGATCCTCTTCAATACAATCTGAATAACATATGTAAAATGTTCCAGTAAATCAACATGTCTTTTGCCTCGAATCGAGAAATGAACGCCTCAAACAGCGATGCTCTGGTAAACGCATACCGCGAGTAAGCGACTTTAAAATAAATAATAATAATATCTGTAATTAAACTAATTATGTGAAATACGTGAGAAATTTAAACCAGGGCATGAGAGCGTGATTCCTGCTTTAAATCTGAGTCTCGCGCTCAGTGCAGAATAAAATGCACGATTTCAACTTCATGAATTCACGATTTCAACTTCACGAATTCACGATTTCAAAAGTTGAAATCGTGAATTCGTGAAATTGAAGTCGTGAATTCATGAAGCTGAATAATGAATTCGTGATTTCCGTTTTTTGAAAACGGGAATTCACGAAGTTTAAATTGTGAATTCATGAATACGAAATCGGGAATTCATGAAGTTGAAATGACCCTACCGGACTTTCGTAGTATTGTACTTAATGCGAGCTTATGTACATGATCAAATGTTTATGTTGTACAAGATTCGAGTTTATATTGAACATAATCCATGATTGTATCTTACACAATGACACAATTCGAGTTTATATTGTGGTACATGATCCCTGTTTTTGTTATTCATGACGACTCGGGTAAATTTTAGAGTCACCAGTTATAAAGATATCGTTTTTTAACGATTGTCTTAGAACGCATAACTTTAAAACGTATTGTGTTTTGTACTTTTGACGGTCTTCCAGTCACGCATTTATATGTATAGTGACAAAAACAAAATCATAATCGAGATAATTCGGAGCTTAAACAGTTAAACATGCACTTGTTTGGTGATATAACACGTAAGTGTGTATAGACAAAGGAACAGGGCTACTTATATATCCAAAAGTGATCCATATCTTTGAAACATCATGATGATGATGTACTGATATTAAAAGATTTTCAGTCAACGGTCTGACATTTTGGTTAAAGTATTAGACAGTTTTAACACTAAAATACAATAATGCGATGACTTTGTTTCATTTCTTTTCCAATTTGAAAGTCAAAACGAAAACAATAGTTGCAGATCTATTTCCAGTTTAGTTATGTCAAACAAACCTCAGGGCTATTTCTTCAAGAGGCCTTCTTATAAGCATTAATAACAACATATTGCATATCCATAAACTGTATAAATACGATAATGATGATAATGATAGTTTGTTACTATTTAAAAAGACGAATGTCTGTGGAAAACTACAATATGGCCTTGATAGTTATATTGTAACCTTTCTTTAGATAAGATGTCCAAACTTCGTAGTGAAAACATTATAAGCCGTATCTGATGTAGGCATAGTACAGCAATGTGGAAGACATATTTCATTGTTTATATAATGGGACTTTATACAGACTAAATAGGTTTGTCGTTTTTACAATGATGGAGCTCTTATCAATATACCATATTTCTGATATTGATATGAAAATATAACAATTCGTATGCTTTAATTAATCTTTAAATCTCCCTCAAGCATAAGATACAATCTCACTTTGTTTTATTCAACTGTACATCTTATTGGGTATTATATCATTTCAATATATATATATAAAGGATATCACATGAGTGTCCTTTCATATTGAATTAATTTAATGAGCTGAATTAACGCGGTAAATACAAGGCCGTGTTAAGCATTGTATCGCCTTTATTCAACGAGTTTAATGAAATCAATATGGAAAGACAAAATTAAAGCAGCTCGTCTGTAGATTCTTTCTTATTTTGATGAACATTTTGATGTTCAAATTGATTGTCTATATGGTTGTTGTTTTCCTGTTGTTAATGTTTTAAAATTTATAATATATCTAAAATATGTTGTAGGTAGTTGTACATATGGCATTACATGTTTGTTTTAGAATCTCTAAAGTCATAGGATGATAACTGATTAGGACGCAGAAAAGCCAGCAAATGAATATATCAGTGTATTTTTAGTTCTCATTGATTACAGGAAATTATGTTTTGTTCAAAATTGCATATTCTATCTTTATATCTTTGTCATTTTATATCTTGATTGTTTTCACCATTTTTAAATACTGACGATGGTCCACTATTAATTATTTAACTTTAACATGCATCTTAAGAATTGAGAAAGTACGAGTACCTGTACTGTACTGTCGACTCGTAGTTTATTATTTGTTTAAAATACTTTTTGAGAGAACGTGAAGATTCAATATTTTAATTTGCTCCTTTTATTTAGGAAACAGATATTATTATTGAATGATATGTGTTATATTATAGCACGATATGGAGTTCAGATTCGCATTCGTGATTAATTACAAAAATCTTAGCGTCATACATTGCTACATGTATAGCATAGACCACACAAAATCAAGATATATCATAAATTCCAAAACGTCAGAAAAGATAGATGGATTATTCTTATGTGGTTAAATTTGTTTAAGCCTCAGAATTTCCGATTTAAACGTTCTTTAAAGGCTGTTCCAGTCTGTTGAAAAAAGTTGTAAATCAACCATTTACAGAAACAATTTGAGAATAACAAATTTTGTAAACGTTGATTATTATTTTTTATGTGTTTATTTTTTTCACTTCATATTTTTCAAACAAAATAAAAAGTATTTTTATTGAAATAAAACTGATTTGCGACATTGAAATAGCGTTCATGTTTAGCACTACATTGTGACGTCACGTAAAAAGCTGTTAAAACGTCTGTACAACGTTAATGACGCAACTATAAATATTGGTGTCCGGATTTACTTTTTTAGTTAGATCTTTTTATCATTCTAGATAGTAATCAGAACAAAATACCACACAAAGTTGTTATATTTATCAGATTTTCAAACAAGATGGCACCGTGAATGTGTCGGTTTTCAAATATGGAGGAGGAAACAAGAACAAGAGTTTATATGTTGTGAAATGAATAACGCTTCTAGCCTTCTTTGTTTATAAAAGTGAAGTCTCCGATAGTATTAGAATACCAATACCAGTCACCTTCGTATAACCTCAACATTTTACAGATGCTCCTAATTATAAGGCGTAATATTTATCACATCTGGACTATTTTCCTAATGCTTTATTTTAGATTGCAGAAACGCACACATTGCATACTTTTGGGTCAGGAGGTATAGACATTTGATTTTAAAATATCATTAAAATCCAAAATTTATATTCTGTTCAGTCCATTTATTAATGCGTATTACTTACTTTTTACAGACATTCGGTACACAATTGAAGTTGAACTGCAAATGGTATTTACAGTGAAATTTATATACCGTAATTTACAAATTCATACTCGTAATTTAGTTTTACCATAGGATGTTCCAAATATTTTCAAGATACTTATGGGTAGCGTTTATCCGATATACATCTTTATAGACTAGTCAATATACCGTCAGCTTTGATAGTTATTGTGCCTGCTAGAAGCACTCACGTAAAAATATATATACCTGTACTATGTTAAGATGGCATCGGTATAATTGCTATTATGAAAAATGTTCAGTTTTTGTAATTAGGAGATACATTGTAAAGCACATAGCATACATACTACTTCCTCCAAATTTATGAAACTGAATAATTCAATTTAATGCCGGGTTGTCGGATTCCGTCAACAGCAAACGGTGTTTTCATTTTGCTTTCATAGATATACACATTATCTATTTTTTTGCAGTTATATTGCTGCCAATGCATACTATTGTTTCATAAATATTCGTAGTCATATAATAATATATCATGTTATTAAAACAAAAATCACAGCATTGAAAATATTTATTTATTTTGAGCTTACACTTACACAATCAAACGTGTTATGTATTTCGAAATAACACACAATATACAAATTCAATCTACATCTATAATAGACAAACAAACATGAAACAACTTACTTTTAAGAATTAACAATTGATTGGAATATAAGGAAAAGTTTAAAACATTTTATACAAGAAAAATATAAAAAATAAAGAAGCCAATACAACATTTGTCCTGCATAGGTACTTTAATTTTCAATCATTAGACGTATTTGTGCAAAATGACATAATTAATTCCTCACAATTTAAGGTATAAAACAGTACAGATATAAAACAGTACAGAGTTTGGGCGGACTGCAGGCTGGATACAGAGACTAATTAGTTTTGTTAGCAAGTTAAGACTAAAAACTGTATAATGTAAATAGTAGCCTGTTTATTCAAACATTAAAACGATCTTACAGATAACAATCAGTACAGAAATAAAAATGTGATCAACAGTACATCAATCATCGTATCAGTGGTGAGAAATAACTTTTTCTTCTCAGACAAAAATTAATTATAATACTTTAAAAAAAACTTTTTATACATCTCTTCCCTATAAGTGGGTTATACTCGTGTTAAACCGCAAAAATACATAACAAATGATTGATTAAAAACCAATAAGCAATTTATGATTATGAATTTACATTTTTTTCCATTCGTCAAACAAAAAATAACGATAGATCCACTTAAGCGTAGCAATGATACAAAGCAGTACAGTGTTTGGTCAGACTGCAGGATGGATACAAAGACTAAGTAGTTAAGGTTTTATAACGCATAAAGTAAATAATAGTATGTTTATTTACCTTACAGAAAACAATCAATACAAAAATAAATTGTGAACAGCAGTATATCAAGTATCGTATAAGTGGTGATACATATCTTTTCTAAAATTACAAAACTTTTTTTTAATTAGCATTTATTCAAACATCTCTTCCCTATACTTATATAAAGTCAGTCAAGTAACAAATCTATATATTAAATAAAAGGAGAATAATTGAAATCCTTCAAAAGTTATCTAATGGACACTCGTATTTTTTTACAAAAAAATGCTTTAAGGGACAAAACACTTTACAAATATTATAGCATATTTTTCCGCATTATTCAATCAGAAATAACAAAACACTGTCTCTATTGAAACCTAGGAGTTGTAAATAAATATAAACATACAATAAAATGAACAATTATGTATATCTCGGGAACTAAACCCTCATCCGATCAGTTTAAAATTGGCGCATATTAATTTTTGGGATTTGTTAGATTAAAAAAAAATCTTGGTAAAATTATGTTTTTAATTTGTTTCACTTTAAAAAATCTAAAAGCTAGGTGTTCAACATAATATCTTATTTTCAAAACCTATGCTGTGGTGAGTGAATATTTCTTCGAATTTGAACAGTGACTTTTAGTGAGATTAAATCGAGTAACAAATAAATCTACATATACATTGACCTCGACAAATAATGCAACTGTATAATACTAAATTATGCCAAATTACAATATGTGCTAGCTATGTACAAGCATATAAACAAAAACCTTTGTCAAAGTGAAAAAATGATTACACATTAAACACTCATCAAAATAAACTACTCACAACAAAGATTGCTTTAAAATGTCATTTAAATTGAGTTCAATCATTTTGATACATAAAACAGATAGAGTTGGCTGTTAACGTTTCAAATAAATCATTTCCATACATGTATTTACTAATTGTGAACAGATTTGCCATAGTCAGCATTGAAAATTAGTACATTGTTACTTCATATTCATTCTATGTTATCAAATATTGAGTTTAAATGTTTATTCAATTTATCTTTAAACTTTTGTATTCCATTTGAATAAGCATTATGTCACATTAATAAAAAAATGAAACAAATAAACACTGTGCTGAAGTTGGAAGCATATAAAAAGTGAAGTTCCCTCATATTTAAGAAAACAATAAATAGTAGAGAAATAAACGCAAGGAAACTTAACAATCTGTTGCAATATATATAGACTGACGACGCTGTTCATAGCAAAATATCTTAAAAAAACATTGCAAATGTGCAGAAAACTATGACAAATACCAGTAAGATATATCCGAAATTTAACACTGATATTTATCTATGTATATCATGTTGATATTATCATATATATGTATTTGTATTTTTAAAAAATATAACTCATTCATTTTAAGTGGCTTTGTTTTATGAATACATTTTGTGCATCAAGTTAGTCATTTCAAAGTAACAGTCGAATAAATTAATACGTATTTTCTATGTGTAAACAAAGTTATGAGAATGAGATAGCAATCATCTCAGATGATATAAAAACATATCTTCATCAGAAAGGAAGATGATTATAAAAATTAAATTTATTATAAATGATTTTGTTCCCAATGAAAGCGTCTGCTATAAGGAACACATTTCTTATATGCAAGGAGCTTCTGATATAATGACAAAAAATGAAAATTTTGAATGTGAGTTGACTATAAGAATAGTTTACTGAATAAAGTTTATGACTGAAAGGTGCATATATTTTTTTTCATGCCCAGAGCAGTATCGGATAAAAACGTTAGATAATGTACATCACAGATGGGATCCAACAAGAAAAAAAGTCCGGTACCGTCTTTGTCCCTAACATAAAGTAAGGTTTTCTTACCGTCATATTAGTGCTTCATGACTTGCGTGTATTTTGTGTGTATTTTAGGCAATGTCCGTAAGTATTTATATTGTACATCATTCTCAATGTTTTCAATGTCGTTGTTTCTTCACAAGTAAACTAATTTTGTTCCATAATAACTAGAACTCTATTCGTTTATGCTAGTGTAACTTTCCTTGTAAGTTTTTATAGGTATCAAAATATGTGAAAACCAATTACAAAGAAAAAATATGCTTTTATCACATTGGTTTTTATAAATGTTGAATTTCAACAACATGTTGTTTTCCTATATGGATCTTCAGTTCCTTAACTCCGACAATGGAACGTAAAAACTTCTTGATCTTGAACAATAAATTGTAATAGAAAAAAGCGTATAGTTAAATCAGTTAATGCTGCATTTGCAAATATGTTACGCGGCGGTATTGTTAAAGTATTACGTCGATTTGGAATGTTGATCACAGAGGACACCTAAAAAAGAAATAAATGGCAATAGATAATTTAATGTGTTTGGACTATTTCAGATAGTTTAAAACACACATAAATGAAATGTCGATTTAATGAAAACTCAAAAGAGATATCAACAAAACTTTTTAACGAAAGCTAAAATAGTTATATTTACTCTACGGTCATTTTATTGTTCACAAAATAACGTTTTTACACATTCTTGAGCGGGTAGAACACACAGGTATAAATATGATTGAAATGTAGATATTATAAAACAATTACATACATTCAAAGATGTGTGATAATTTCTCGTGTGGATTGTATTTGCTCAACAATATTCATCACTTCATCCCATTCAACGGTAAGCGACTTGGTTGATTGCATAGCTTGAATAAGAGTATTGACGGTGGCATTTTCCTGCTGCTTAGCTACCCATTTAAGCAGCATATTGTAGATCCGCATACTGCTAGTTTGATTGTCCATTGACACTTGATTGATTTCTGCATTGCTCAGACCAAGTTTAGCCCCAAGAAGCTCCCAGCTGTATCCAATTAATTGTGCTATTTCGCTCAATTTTTTTTTATCAAACTGACAGTCCTCTGAAAGTCCTATCGTAGAGATGTCTTTAAACCATTCAGAAAGTGCCTGCGGTGCGTGAATATCATGATTGGCAGGCATATCAAGGCAGGGTTCAATGCTTTTGCCATCAATGGTTTCAAATGGGAAGATTGTTTGGCCTCCAATTAGACCATGGCGTTCATCGTTGCAGCTAAAACATGTCTGGAACGGCTTACCTTGAAGAGTCGATGAATCTCGCAGTTTATTGAATTCACTGGTGACCACTGACTCTGCAAAGCGTCTGAACTTGTCTGCTGTAATGTTGTTAACATTTCGAGATGTGCAAAGGCTAATGACACGCATTTCAATTCTGTTTTGTTGTAGTTCAACAGCTCCAGCATTTTGGCTGTCCAATCTAAAGACTCCTAAATTTTCGTACAGCATGAATTCCTTTTTTTGTTGTGATACGCCTATTTGGACAACTGGCCACCTTGCTACCATAGCGGCAATAAGACGACAGTATACAATTTGTACAACAGGGGAGTATTGAAATGCCATCAGAAACCTTAAAGATGTCTGCTTCTTTCCTGAAAGGAACTCTTTAAGTGTCTTGTTATCACTGTGGTTTCTTAGAAAAATAGGGACAATAAACCAACCGAGAGGATTAGATTTCCCAGTTTTCTCGTCGAAACCTGAAACTTCAGATATAATGTAATGCCTTTGCATAAACATCAAAATTTCATTCTTAAATTTGGATAACTCACTATCGGAATCAAAACATTTCTCAATTAGCTCTATTGTCAGTTTTGCTTCGTTTTGTAAAAGTTTCCAAAGGCTGCGATATTGTGGCTCTTTTCTGCAAAATCTCTCTGATGTCACAATACACCTGAACGCATCAACGAGAAATTGTGTATTTAGTACAACGTATCGTGATATCGGTTCTTCGTCAAAGAAAAACAATGTGCCTTTCCTGTGGTGATATAATAGGAACAACTTGATTTCTTCTTCTTCCTTTAGCGGAAAGTCACTTTGTGAATCGATTTCCACTACTTTGCTAAATGGAATTATCTTCTTGTATCTTATCTGTACTAATTCTTTTTCAAGGGCTATCCATCTTGCAGGAACTTTGAGTTTAGAATGTCCTCTTATATGTATTATTGCATTTCGCAGTTCTTCAATTTCCTTGTCGTCGGGATCAGTGCTATTGACTACAAAATCTTTTGTATGAATATGATTGAGAACAGGTGTGTTTTCAAAAAATGTTCTTATTTTTTCAAAATATTCTTCTGCATGTTGATTTTTTTCATTTTCCGTTCCTAATAATTTATCTTTATGCGTTCCGACAAGAATAACCGGCGGATTTGAACCGTCGTCTGACCCGACATATGAATGAATGGAGTTCATCCAAAACTTAATGAAATATTCCATTGTTTTGTCACCTGTTTCCATAGGATATTCAGTATCTAATACAACCATCGACAATGGTTTTGATAAGTCAAACACCAATAAATACACAGCGCGATTGCTGTGGAATATGGTGTGAGTAGCATAGAAGACAAACTGGCCAGCAAAATCCCATATTTCAAAATTTCCATCTACACCGCGCGCAAATTGTTTATATTTCAGGAGAGTCGAAAATTTCTGTACTTCTTCCGGTGTCAAAGATGATTTTGTATTTTTTCTAGTATTATCCGTGCTTTCCGCTTGTGTTTTTCTATACAAAATTCGTGATGCACTGTCAATAACTTCTATATTTTCAGACTGTGATGCGCGTTCTTGAAAATCTAAAGAACGTCCAGTATTCTCTGTTGGCTCCTCATTCTTAGCGGCTTCAGCAATGCGATCGATAATGTCCATATCTTGTGGCGTAGTTGTTTGGAATAACGTCACAACACCATTTACTTCACAATATTTGCAGTGATTGATTTCTACTCCATTTGTGCTTTGAACAGAGTGACAAGTCTTTCTAACTAGTGATTGTGTTAAGGAGGTTTTCCCTTGTGCAAAATTCCCAACTACGTTCACCCTTACAGAGTTATCTATTTCAAAACCTCTGGAGAGGACACTTTGGTAACGCTCAATGTGTAAAGGGTTATTTCCAATATCAAGCTCCTCATCTATTTGAAAAAGTAAGACTTAAAACATTTTAATACTGTAATTTTGAAACTATATTAACTGAAAATTAAAATAGCATACCATTATCATTATTGTATTTGAATCAAGTATACATATCGTTACAAGTAAGACTTTAAACATTTTACTATTGTAATTTTATTGTAATTTTTACACACTTTTACAGAAAGTATATTTATCGAAACGAGTGAGTCTTTTAACATTTGTTTACATGTCTAATTTCAAAACTTCACATAATACATTTTACTATTATCAAAATTGTATTTAAATCAATTATATATAATAACTAAACAAGAACCACCGCTGGACGGGGCAATGCTCGAATTATTTTACTTTTCCTAAAACCAAACAAATAAAAAAATCAAAGAAAAACACGATAAAGTGTTTTTAATTGTTTAAAGACTAATAATAATTATAATAATGATAATAATAATAATAATAATAATAATAATAATAAAAATAATAAAAATAATAATAATAATAATAATAATAATAATAGAAATTGAGCTCGGCTGATATCAAAATTAAAAATTACATTGAAAACTGGTCACATGGTCTGAATTTCAAAGCTGTACATCAAATGATAAGAAAGACAGTAGGTCTTTTCGTCAAGTTATATATGTCAGTTGATATCAGGTTCAAAAGTAGGCCACTTTGTGAAAATCTATGTCAGCTGATAAAAAAGTTTAATTTTACATTAAAATATGTGCAAACGGTCTAAATTTAATTATTACGAGAAAAAAAGAAGAACTTTATTAATTTGACCTTGACAGTCAAAGTCGATTAAAGGTCAAACTCACATATAAATTATCCAATAAAATTGTTTGGTAGAAAGTATTGTCCGTGTATAAATAAAATCCGTACTTAAATAAGAAAAAAAATATAATGACAAGTCAAATTTAATTATTATATATTGGAAGTCACATGACTGTAACAATACCATTATTTATTCTTCGAAAACAAAACAGTCCAGCTATATAAAATGATAAGTTCAGAAGACATATTCGCCTGGGAAATCTTCCTCTTCTATTCATATTAATCATACAAACCCAAAGTCTCACGAGAAGGCAACATCAAGGCCTTTAAAGTCATATGAAAAATAAAGGTGCATTTATTGTCATCGAGAATTGTAGTATTTCAACACACGGGAAAATAGTTTATTATGTAACATGCAAAGAAAACAACAATAAAACACAATATGTGTACCCATTATCTTTAAGTTTAGATTTGGACCTCTATTCATCGCTTTTGTTGACTTAAAAGAGATTAACGAAACGATTTAACGGGGAATGTATGATTTACCTACTCATTGCAAATTAAGTTTTAAGAAGATTTTTCATGAAGAAAATACATGTACGCCTATTAAGTTTTCGTCAATCTTTATATATGTCATATGCTTAAGCTTTAGTTATCAGCGTGACAAATTAACAACTTATCTAACTAACTAAAGCTGATTCTTTTCATACGTGATTTCTTTACTTTTCTAATTGACAGCAGAAACAATATCCTGATTTCAGAAATTAAAAAGAAAAACAAGATGGCCAAGATAGCCCTAGATCGCTAACTTGAACCATCTAACTCATCCGAATATTACCTAGACAAGCATCCTGACCAAGTTTGATGAAAATTTAGTCAAAAATGTGACCACTAGAGTGTTAACAAGGTTTTTCTATTTTTAGCTCCTGTGACCTAGTTTTTCATCCGAGGTAACCCATGTTTGAACTCTTCCAAACAATTACCTAAACAAGCATCCTGACCACATTTTATGACAATTGAGTCAAAAATGTGACCACTATAGTGTTAACAAAGTTTTTCTATTTTTAGCTCCTTTGACCTAGTTTTTCATTCGAGATAACCCATGTTGGAACTCTTCCGAACAATTACCTAGACATCATCCCGACCAAGTTTGATGACAATTGAGTAAAAAATGTGACCACTAGAGTGTTAACAAGTTTTTCATATTTTTAGCTCCTGTAACCTGGTTTTTCATCCGAGATGACCCATGTTCGTAATCATCCGAGATATTACATAGACAAGCATCCTGACCAAGATTGATGACAATTTAGTCAAAAATGTGACCGCTAGAGTGTTAACAACGTTTTTTTTTCTATTTTAAGCTCCTGTTACCTAGTTTTTTTATCCGAGATGACCCATGTTCCAAATTAACCGAGCTATTACCTAGACAAGCATCTTCACCAAGTTTGATGATGATTTACTCATAAATGTGACCACTAGAGTGTTAACAATGTTTTTTTTTCTATTTTTTAGCTCCATTGACCTTGTTTTTCATCCGAGATGACCCATGTTCAAAGTCATTCGAGCTATTAGCTAGACAAGCATCCTGATAAAGTTTAATGGTGATTGAGGAAAAAATATGACCACTAGAGTGTTTACATTTTTTTTTATTTTAAGCTCAGGTGACCTAGTTATTCATCCGAGATAATCCAAGTTCGAACTCATCCGAGCTATCAACTAGATAAGCATCCTGACAAAGTTTGATGATGATTGAGGCAAAAATGTGACCACTAGACTGTTAACAAACAAGTGTGGACGGACGACTGACATTCAACGATCCTAAAACGATCCTAAAAATTTAGATGACTTTAAATTTATTCATCAATAATTATGTCTCCAAAATGAAAAACAATCATAATTGAGATACATTATAAAAAGCTTACCTCAAAATAAAGTCAAAAACAAACTTAAAAGGTTGTGCATAAATTATTATCTATAAGAAATAAAAGATAATACATGCTACATAGTGCCCAGGAAGTAAAAAATATTTAAGATTATAATATAATATTATGCATAATGTAAGTTCGGGCGAAAAGTGTGTAATACGTTGGAGATTTAAGCCATTAAATATGGCTTCGAACAAGGTAATGCAACACATTATTTGAACATCTTAGTAATAACCATTGGCATTATTTGATAATGTCGGACACATATTAATTGTTAACGTCGTTAGGACCATTGCCGTGCCTAATGGAAAAGACGGCGTTCAGACTGTCACTATCATTAATTGTTTTTATAAACGGAAATTGTTTAATATTTAAACAATATGAAAATAAATAAGATTACATAAGAATATAATGCACAATAAGGATAACTGTGATACTAATATCTGTTTGATTGGTGATGTTATCACATGTACGCATTGCAATATAGACTTGTAAGACTAAAGCTTGAATGGGTCAAACTATTGCAAAATATACTTTAAGCACGGATAAACTGTCGAAAAGGTAAGAATAAGATACTTGCCAAAGTCTAAGCTACTTGGATCTGACTCCTGAAGTCAAAAAAAAATATTACATTATATTTGATAAATATATGATAGACAGGCTAAGCCCCACATCCTCTATTTTAAACAAAAATATTTATGCAAACATCTTCAAGTATCTTGAGGCCATGACTTATTTTAGCCAATGAAAATGGTCGTTTCATATGGAACAAAACTTAATATTACACCGGTAGGGGCGGATCAAACGCTGAAGCGGTGAACAAGGAACGTTTTTTGATTATTACTTTTGTACCTCTTTCTTTTTACTTGTATGGTCAGTTGTATCTTTTATTACTATTTTAAGCATTTAATTAAGAAATATACGCGCCCAAAAAGCTATACAGGTACATATGCAATTTGTAACATATTCAGACAAACGACCGTACTTAGGGGTCTTAAAATTAATTCATTAAAATGAATTTTAATGATATTTTAACGTAATATCATGTAGTTAAAAACGAATGGTTAACTAAAAATAATGAATGAAGTAGGTGAAAAGTATTAAGTCGGATACATGTAACAATAGCAGACGATTTTTATTGCATTTTGTTATATCTAAGGAAACACTGCAATAATAGCATGTGAAGAGAGGCAATTTCCTTAAGATAACACATGTCGAAAATGAAGTACAGGATCAAAAATTTCCTATGGTCATGTGGTTTATTTATTGTTCATGCGAAAAAAAGAATATAAATTTGAAAGGAATCTGGGACAAATTATAAACTATTTTGACGTTCACCTGTTCAATTGATGGGCAATAATGTGACCAATTGATCAACTATATCTACTGATATTTGTAGTGTATGCGTGACACACATATTTAAATCGATTAGAATTCAGATCCTTATATCGTAGGATCTGATGACGACCCATTGAATATCTTGATTTTACATATTTCTATATTTATATGATGTTTATTAAAGAAAGGTAACATTTGATAGACAAAGATTCGAAACACGAGATATCTGGTTGTACGGCATAATGTCGGCATAATAAGTTAGCACCCCCCCCCCCCAAAAAAAAAAAAGACAAACAAAAAACAAACAAAAAACACAGTCAATGGGCATGCTCTATCTATACGCAACAGACAGTATTGTAGCCGTATTACATGTAACTAATATATCAAATACTCGAAATAATCTGACATATTTTTATTAGAAATGTCGCTATACTAGTATACAATTCTTTTATTAATTTATAATAGTTCTTTCTCTGTTAAACGGTGTTGCAGTAGCACAGCAGAAGCAGTAGCAAAATTTTAAAACGTGGCAATGGCAGTACCAGCGTGAAATTTGCAGTAGCAGTTGCAGAACAGCAGCATTAGCACTATTATAAAAACGTGAAATTGGCAGTAGCAGTAGCCCATCAATAGCAGTTGGAAAATTACAAAACGTTAAACTGGCAGTAGCAGCGTGAAATTGGCAGTAGCATAAGCAAAATTATAAAAAAACGTAAAATTGGCAGTAGCAGTAGCACATCAGTGGCAGTAGCAAAAGTATGAAACGTTAAATTGGCAGTAGCAGTAGCACAGCAGTAACAATAGCAGAAGCAATCAAAAAGGAGAAGATCTTAAAAGCATTGACACATGTCTTTGAAACATGTATATGTCAGTTTTGATAAAAAAGGGACTCAGAAAACCCGTCAAATTTAATCATTATCATTGTGACATCGTAATATATCTTCAATAATAACTATCTAGATACAAGTCTCTAACGGAATTCGAGTGATTTGGATCGGCGCGGCGACCTTAAAAGTATACATCAACCGCTTATATTCAATAATTTAATACTTTAAAGATATTATGTGCACATCCTTGAGTAAACTATTTTAATCACAGAAGTTTATTTAAATATATTTTAACGTAATATGTCTAACTTGAATGAAGGAAACAATAAACTATGTACTATGAAGCTGCATTCCCTATTACAAGTAAAATAAAGCTGATCTTATCTTTAAAATACTAACAGTTTTTTAATGACAATATATATAA